AATGAATTTTAATCAGCTTGTACACACTACGAATGTTTGTATTTAGACGAAATTTTAGGTTTAGGTAATTTTATATGAGAATTTTTTTTGGCAGTCTTTACTTATAGAAAGTTCGAAAATGAAAATTCAAGACAGAAATAACGATATAAATAAGACCAGTTGGCCTAAAGAATCGAAAATTCAACAACAACAACAATCATAATAATATTAAATATTAAATACAAACGCGAAAAAAGAACAGTGCTTTTTTTTCTGTCAATTTCCCAATAAGAACTTTGAACAAATACTATCAGTTTAACAAATAACTATGGAATTCTTGAACACTCTCTTTATTCTTTTGGCATCCATTGTCATCGTTGCTCAAGCATCTCCCTTGAATAAAAGTAAATATCCCAATGATTCTGTTTATTAAGCATGATATTACACTTTATAAATCTTAAAGCAAAAGAATCACTAAAACGTATATTATTTTTTTTATTGCTCTCGTTACGCAAGGATTGTTTGATGAACCTGAACCTTGGAAACCTTATGATCCTTCTAATGATCCGTATGAGGATTTCAAGAAAGATTATGCAGTGGCTGTATTTAACTTAAGAACTTCTATAATGGCACTTAAGCAAGATCTAATGGTTCAAAATTCTCTTATATTTCAAAACGCAATCAGTGACATCGCTAATTCTACTAATAATGTGGAAGAGATTACAATAAAATTCATATTAGATAGTAAGAAGCCTTATCCACTAGATTACACTAAACCTACTTCAATTCCTCAAAATCCTCAACAAACTTACCCTTCTCCAACAACTTCGCCCTACGAACATCCTAAACATCATAGACAACATGCAGACCCCAATCGAGCACCAACTCCAACCGGTTTCATTGAAATTTAAATAATTTGACAAATGAAAATACTTGTAGAAAGAGATGTGTATTTGGATCGATTAAGCCAACGTAATATAGTTTTAACGTAATATAGTTTTAAAATTTTTTCATAATGACATATTTCTTTTTAACATAGTCACAAAATAGTTCGGTTTTTGTACTACGTATAAATACATTGACACCTGTATTTATTATTATATCTCTAATAATTAATTTTAAAATATATTATTAAATTCTTAATATTTGATCGATTATTTTACATTTGATTTTATTAAGTGAAAAATTTTCAATAAATATCATGCAATTATTATATTACAATTGTCCAATATAGCCAATTATTAGCTATTTGAAATTGACGGCAAAGATATTTGCGTATACAATTTTTAATGCGATTCAAATATCTAAATCCTATCCGACCAAGATTAAGGGTGCTCTCAAGCATCTCTCTCAGTGTAATTAGCTAGCTATAGAGATCGTGCACAAGTACTACGATTAATTGAAGTAAACCTTACGGTAATTTTGTCGAAGATTCATGTTGCGAAATGCGTATATTTAATTTTAGCCAATCAATACAACTCTATGATAAGAATGATGGTCTCTCGCTTGACAGAATAATTTATTTTCCACTAATTAAAAATTGAATAAAAATTGAATTCAACCTATTAATCTAGATGCTTGAGAGCACCCTTAATTTGAAAAGATATCCGTTATCCGAGGTCTATTATATCTTATCTGACACACATGTAATACCGAGTTTCCATATTAAATACTTACGAATGAAAAAAATTACACTTGTTTATTTAAAAAAACAATCAATTAACCATTAATTACGATTAATAAGAAACTAATTATAACAGAATATAGATGGACTAAACATAATGTCAAGGGCAAAAATATCGTGAGCGTAAAGGGGCGGCACTATTCGAGGCGTGGACAATTTTGCGAGTGCGTATTTACTTTTTTTTTTTGTGTGTGTTTTGAGTTTTACTTAAAGATTAATCCTACTCCTAATCACGATTCTTCAACTTAAAACTAACTACCACTACTCAATTACCACTAAGACGTTTGATCTTTCTATTATTTTGTTGGGGGC